CCCCCGCCATCCCGCCTCCCCTGCCATTCCAACTCCGCCATCTCCCCCATTCCACCTCCGCCATCTCCCCCATTCCGTCTCCGCTATCTCTCCCATCCCCCATCCCGCCTCTCTCAGAGACCTGGAACCACAGGTAATCGACACGGAGGCAGATATCTGGGGGAGGTGGGCCTGGATTCGTCTGCAAATGGGGTAGGAAGACTGGCTGGTGATGACGGTCTATGCTCCGTCAGATCTGCAGCCGAGAGTGGAGTTCCTGCAGAATCTGGCTAGAAGGATTCCGGTAACAAGCCACGTGGTCATCTCAGGAGACTGGAACGTGTCGTTGGACGTGGCGATGGTGCAGGGCTCTAGGACAACGGGCAGAGGGGATGCACAGACACTGCTGGAGATGATACAGCGGCGAGACTTAACAGACCCGTTTCGCTCGCTGAACCCGGACCTGCTGGGTTTCACTTGTTATGCAAACCCCAGGAGAGACAGACGAGAAGTAACGAGACGTCGACTAGACTTCTTTCTAGTGTCGAAGGCAATGAAGCAGCACGTTACAACAATCCGCTTGCAGTTGCACCCGCTCTCGGACCATAAGCCGGTGACAGCAGAGTTTGTAGTAGATGTACCGGGGGAGAGGGGGAAAGGATATTTTAAGTTTAATTCGCTGAATCTGGTGGATCCGGGCCTGAAGGCCTGGGTACAAGATTTTATGGAAGCATGGGGTTCGACGAAGGAGCAGTTCGCAACGGTAGCTGATTGGTGGGACGGGGGGATGGCTACCATATCAGGCATGATGAATGTATGTTCCCGTATCCTCGCCAGGGACAGAAACAGAGAAGAAGAGGAATGCAGGAGGCTGGTAGAGGAAGCGGAGAGGAGGATGGAGCAGCACCCAATCTCGGAACAGACTTGGGCTGCAGAGAGAGTGAAGCGGCTAGTGAAGCAGGAAAAAATCCACACTGACAAGCACGCACGCTGGGAAGAAATGTTGAGGCTTAAGGGAGTTATTGCCCATGACAGGATGACGAAAGAAACATTTCGCAGATTGCTTTCGAGTGCTGCGCATCACCAAGTCGTGGAACTGGATCATCCGTTCGACCCAGGGGCTCCGTCGGCTTCCGACCGTACGGGAATGCTAGAGCACGCACGCCTGTACTACTCAGATATCCTAACGTCGAGAAGGACCGCAAACACGGTACATACGGACCTGTCTCTGTCCAGTTACGTCTGGGAGGAGACAGAAGTGGTACTGACGGTACAGGAACAGATGAGCCTAGACAGACCAGTGACGCTAGAGGAACTAACACAGACCCTTGAGGTGATGGCAGCAGGAAAATCGTCGGGGTAGTAACGGTTGAATTTTTCCGCTGCTGCGGGGACGCGCTGAGTCTGCCTCTCGTGGAAGTGTACAACAGGGTGTTAGTAGGGGACAAACTGGGAGAAGGGATGACGCACGGGATAATCTCGCTGATGTTTAAGAAGGGAGATAAGGCAAACGTGAGGAATTACCGCTCGATCTCTCTCCTTAACATGGACTACAAGGTGCTGGCAAAAACGTTGGCTTTGAGACTCGGAAAGATTCTCCCGAGGATAGTGGAAAGGGACCAGGGGGCGTTCGTTCAACGCAGGTCAATCTTCCTTAACATCTTGACAGCGATCGAGTCGGTGGAGGTGCTGCAAGTGGAAAACAGGGACATGGTGGTGTTGTTGTTGGACCTGGAGAAGGCCTACGACAAAGTGGGTTGGTTGTTCGTACTCACGACGCTGAGGAAGATGGGATTTGGGGAAGGTTTCTGCAGATGGGTAATCGCAATGTACACGGCAGCATCCTCCGCAGTACAGGTCAACGAGCATCTGTCGGAACCTTTTCAACTGATCCAGTCTCTGCGTCAGGGCTGCCCGTTGGCCCCGCTCCTCTTCGTGCTACAGTTAGAGGTCCCCTTGAATTGTATCCGGAAGCATCGGCAGATTAAGGGTCTCCCGCTAGCAGGTGGTAGAGAGTGCAGGGCTAAGGCACTGGTGGATGACTTATTTCTGATCTCAGAGAACTCACTATCCTCCTTACTAGCAGTTAAAGCCGTGCTGCAAGAGTACTCGCTGTTGTCGGAAGCACAAGTGAACTGGAACAAATCGGCGTACATCTTGCCGGAGGGTTTCGCCCTGGTGGTGGAGTGGGGAATGCATAGAGTGGTTTCGGCAGATGGAGAGCGGTTCTTGGGGGTGTTGATTAGCCTCGAACTGATGTCGGCAGCCCAAGGAGCACTCATCCGCCAACGGATCGCTGCAAGATTGAAGGTGTGGGGTTCAGCCTGGCACTTATCGTTATTCGGTCAGACACTTGTAATCAACTCAGCACTCTTCGCACTCCTGTGGTTTGTAGCCAGGGTAAGGGAGATCTCGAGGCCGGTGATCTCAGGGATTAAGCGGTTGGCCACCAGATTTCTGTGGAAGCCGAGAGCGGGACAAGAGGAGGGTTTCTTTGTGAAAGTGGCATGGGATCTAGTCACACAAGATAAGGAGGAGGGAGGTTTGGGTTTGGTAGACCCGCACCGTAAGAACCAGGCTTACCTCAAGGAGTGGCTGGCCAAAGTGGCACTTTCGGAACACACCGATGACTGGCTGCTTTTGGGGGAACGGATCCTGGCGCAGGAGTGGCAGCTGACCAGGCTGGAGGATGTATGGCCCTGCTTCTTCATAGGATGCTTCATGAGGCGGAAGCTGAAGTCGGAATTCTGGGAAGGAGTCCGCAGAGCTTGGGTTGATCATCCACCGGATAGAAGAACTCCCCCAGTGACGAAGGAGGAAGTGCTAAGACAGTGCATCTTTGAGAATCCGCTGATTACTGATGAAGAAGGGAATGAGTTACCAGCAAATGTTGCGCCAGGGTCATTTGGGAAGGCCTGGATCCAGCGAGGGGTGACTCGGACCAAGGTGGGCGACCTGTGGGACTCTCTACTAGGCTCGTGGAAGAAAGGGGGGGAAGTGTATGCCAAACTGCAGGGCCTGAGAAACGTGGAACAGGACCTGGGCGTGGTCAGACAAGCCATCCCGCAGATGTGGATGAGACTGCTTGGTCCGGAGGGGCAGGATCCGGTAAATACCTGCAGCAGTGGGACAACCCACCACAGATACGGGTGATAGAGAGGAGAGACGGGAGAGGTAGGGTGACACAGACGCAGTGGACGCACGATTAAATTGGGGGTATCAACGCCATAATAAAAAAAAAGGCAGAACAGGAATCTGTATGTGTTTGCACGAGACCCCCAACGCACTGTCAGCTGATAAAGTTATCAACCCCCAATGCACTGTCAGCTGATAAAGTTATCAATCTTAGATTAGTAACCAGGAAAGCTATCATTATTTCAGGGATCATGTGATGAACCAGAGAGGGAGGAAGCCACAACTCAGGAAAATATTCTATTTAACTGTAAAATTCTTATTGGATGGGGACTAGTATCAGCGGAGATTGAAGCGGGTACCAGTTGCTAATAGGACAACCTAACGGGAAACAGTGATACACTTCTCACAGATACTGTGATGCCATACCACGTCAACAAAGAAAACACAGGCAGTCACATTCCACCATTTTCTCTCGATCTTGAAAGGTGTTACTACGGGAAGAGGCAGTCAGTGACAGACGTTACTGGGTAAGTCTCATGGCCGGAAAACACATCACGAATGCACTCTGTTAACGGGGAGTTAGACCCGCGATTTCATGCCAACGTTTGTTTTGACTGGAGCGTCCCACTGTTCTGTGGCTGGGAAGCAAGCGTTTATCTGAACTCTCTGATTCGCGAGCTTTGTCATCTGAAGGCAACGTCAAGTAACCAGTCCTAGTAAGGTTGAACAAGCACTACGGTCGTCCACGAACTGGGCGAATAAAAGCTTTTAATCAAAGGGACTGGGCCTGGCCGGGTCGAGCACCCTGAGCAGTGGTGGCAAGGGTGTCCCCAAAGCAAGCTCTGCAAACTGTACAGGGGAGTGTGAAAAGGATTATGCAATTGAGGCAGATGCTCCCTGAGTGACTGATCTGGGTATAGGCTGCCTAAAACAGAGTGTTGTGTGCTGTACTACTGTGCACAAAAGTGTCGAATATTGGTTTAGGCAAAATTTCGGAAATGCCCTTCACAGTATAAGCATACAGCAACCCTGGGGATGCAACACTCGGGGATGCTCGTGTACACTGTCGCTCTGAGGGCGATAGTGCACCATCTCGAGAACAGACTATTATTGAGTTAGTGTTAAGCTCGATACTCAGCTGGTACACTCTGCGAACCCTTGCCTGATCCGGTGAGGCCCCTCAAGGCAGCTCTTGGTGCTCGTATCTGTACGTAAGTGTCGTTTTCACAAGAGTTGCTCGTACCTTGAGTAATAAAGGAAAGTGGGTGGAAGCATTGTTCATCCATCTGATGATGGGAACGAGACTCGTGCAGTGAAAAGCTTACCCAGAACAGCAGTTTAGAGGTTAAGTTTCGTCATAGGTCTGAGCCAGTACTTTGGCCAGCAAAAACCCCTGGTTGCACTCTAAACTACGACGTGTCAGAGGAATCATGAAAAGGTGCGAGGTTCTCGTATTAAAAGGCAGATCAAACAGGGACAAGAAGGAGACATGGGAGGAAGAGGTTTGCATAGATATGGAATCTCATAGACGGACTTAGAGGGGACACACTGTTGGGATGGCCGAAGGGAAGAAATATATCAAATATGTGCTCTACTTTTATGGTTGTGATGGTAAATTGCACAGTACCAGTTCGCTCCTAGAAACAGTCGAACAAGCTAGATCAAGACTCATATAAATGCAGGGGGTACCCTGACTCTTTCTTTGCAGCTTCCATCTGTACTTCCACCTAAGAAGGACTCTCTTTCTGCTGCCAGCAGCTTCCTCAAGTAATCAGTGTTTGGTGACCCAACATTCCAAGACTTAACCAGGACTTGATCATGATTTAATCAGAATTTTAATCAACACTCAATCTGTTTTCAATCAGCAATCAGAGATATTACTTGTCATCAAAATTTAACTAGCGGCGTAAACAACTCAGACATACCAATCGCCTTCTCTTAAACAAAAAAGAAAAATCGCCAGAGGATCAGAATTGAGCCTGAGTGAGGTTGACATCCCCATGACCATCTAGCTTCTCTGAGAACATCCATGCTTTAATTCTCTGCCTCTTCCCTCTGTCTGTCGGGCTCCCCATCCCTCTAACATTCCAAGTAGCTATTTTGATTCTAACCATTTGGAGTGCTGCCCGCTGTGTGACCTTGGATGCGGTCTACGTGGAGATCTGTTTCGTCTGCCCAGCGGCCGGTGCCTGTGCCTGTACCAGTACCAGCGCCCTCCGAAGGCGTACGCACCATAGGGCTGTCCCTTGAGGGCCCTCCTGATTCAACTGAGCGAGTGGACGACCTCCAAGGTGCCGAGAGTGATTCTCGTACGAACACAGAATTGAGGTTTCCCGCTTCCGCCAGCTTCTCATTTACATGCAGGAGGATCAGAGCTGACACCCCTGGGATCAGAGCAATAATTTCCAATTCATCCGCATTCTGTTCTCTGACTGCGTCCATCTTGAACCACTGTACCCCTGTCAGGGACAGTGTATCTGCTGTGACTGCATTTATCCTAGCATCCATCAGAAGGAAGTACAACTTGAAAATTTTCTCCTCTAAGGGGACCACCACACTCACCATTGTGGATCTCGGGATCAAACGGAAGGGGAAGGCATCCCCGAAAAGGTTCTTCGTCAAACTAATGATCTCCCCCGGTGCTGGTGTTCTGCCTGTTTCCACAGATGGGAGATACGGGCGGCCTTCATAATCTGCCATTCCCAGAAAAAACGCATCCATGTCTGTGGATGTACACATCAGCGGGACCATCCGCCTTTCCACCCTGCATCTGTCTTGGTGACAGATCACCGGGGATCTGACGATGTGGTTCCCCCTGTATTCCAACTTGCTTTGGGTGTCTGATGAGGGGGGATGTCTTCTGCGTGGCGGCCCAGAACTTCCTGTGGAAGACTCTGAGCGCTCCTGTTCCAGCTCTCTCTCTCTCCTGATTCTAGAAGCTCATCACCTAACACTTCACTCCCTACCCCCACTCTCGAGGCCGACGACACTGAGAGGGAGGGTCCTCCCCCCTGTGCTCTCCCCGGAACACTATGTTCTCTTCCTCTTCTTTCCCCTACTGCACCAAATCTACTCCTTGTAATTAATCCCCCCTGATTGTCACCCCTGAACCCAATCGACTTCTGATCATCCCTCGCCGATCTTTGCCTCCCAAAAATTGATCTCCTCCCTTCTGCACCTTGCAGCCCCCTTTGCCCTGGGCGCTGTAACCCCTGGTCAAGTGCACCACTCCCATACTGCTCCTGCTAGTAGGAATCAGCCCCTGGTGGGGGTTGCCCCACCATTGGGTAATGGTAATTCCGAGTCTGCTCCGAGACCCCAGGGGGCCGTGTGATCGTCGGGGAATGGCAGAGTGTCGGATACACACTCTGGTGGACTGCACGTGGGATTTGCATCTGCATCTGCGGCTGGTGGTGCTGATAGGGCAATGGATCCGGGATCTGATGTCCCGTCCAGCCTGGCAGTTGTGTCCAGGGAGGTATGCGGGGCGGTGGAAGAGGACCTGGATGGGAGACTTGGGGGATATGGTAGTCAGGGTATTGCGTAGGAGCTGGGGGTAGCGGCGGATATCCCGCCTGATAGAGGTCAGGGGCCCAAGGCTGCCTGTGTGATATCTGGTGTCCTGTGTGATCTCTGGGTTCTGCGCCCCCCATCTGTACGTCCCCTCCTTGTGAACCTGTTGTCGGCCTCCCCTCTGATCCGGGAGTTGATGTTGTTCCTGGAGGCTCCACTGCTCCCGTCTTGCTTGGGAAGCCACCTGTACCTGTCCTGCCTCCTGTTGTCTTCTCTCAACTCCCCGTTGCTCTCCCTCTGGTTGAGCCTGTCTTCCCTCCTGCCCCTGTGAATGATTACCATGCCCTGTCAATCCCTCCTGTCTCGAGGGGGGTCTGTTCTGACGTGGTAAACGGGAGTTCGTCCACTGTCTCGCCGTCCTTTCCCCCTGTGAGGACCTGGGGCAGATATCTTTCGTATGGAAGTACCATCGGCAACGCCTACACCAATCTATACAAGGAGTGGCCACGTCCATTTTCCAGATCTCCCGTTTCGGTGATTCTACTGCCAAGGTGTGATCCACTCGGAACCTCGCTTGCGGGTCCATGTCAAACTTGACATTCATCAACTTTGGCCTCGTGCGATCTGCTTCTGGAGGGTGCATATTTTTAACCCCTCCAATCAACCCCTCCACTGCTGATGGCAGATAATAGAATGCTTCCAACGGCACTCTGAGTGCCACGATCCAGAAGTTGGTTTCAGCCTCCTTTAATCTTAATTCCTTCAGATCTGATTTTGTCATCCAGGATTTAAAAGTAACCGGGTAATCCGCTCCTCTCAGATTCAGGTTCGTCGCTGCTATCCGTACCATCCACGCTGCTACTTCAGGTGCCTTTGCCACGTAAGAGATTACGTTTGCACCTTCAAAGGTGATCCTTCCCCTTCTTACTTCTGGATTAAATAGTCTTCTCGCCATCCACCCATCCTCGTATGCCCTGATCAGATCTTCTTTAACCCCTCTCGTCAGATTCCGAGATTCATCCTGAAAGACTACGATGACCGTTCTCTCCTTTAACCACCTCTCCTTGATCTCATCCAACGACTCGTTCACTTTGAATCTCTTCCCCTTCGCGTCAATCACCACCTTTCCAAAATTCGGGTTGATTTGCATCACTCCCTCGTCATAGCTTTGTCCAATGGATTCCCTCGCCTGCCCCTCCATTGCCCAAAAACTTGTCGGCAGTGTCGGGCGGAGCTCCCCTCCCGGGACCTCTGCTTCCATGTCTGCCATGATCTGCCTTCCCTCGGAAGATATGTCCTCCCCCTCCTTACGTAAAGAGATTCTTCCTGACTCAGCTTCCCCCTGCCCCCTCGCTCATCGGCTCGGCAGACCCGCTAGACTCCAGTATTTGCAACCCGCTCACCTGTGCCCCGGGCTCTTTCAAAGCACCCGCCCACCCGATCTGAGGGCGCAAAGCAAGATTTCACAATACTAACTTTGAAATTCCTTCTCTCCCTGTCAGGCATCCCCAGATCTGGCTTCGATAGTAGTCCAAACGGACCTACGAACTCTCCTTTCCTCCCTACCGCCGAAAAACTTCGTATTTCTCATTTCCTCCCTCCCGCCGAGAGCTTCATCTGATCACTCCTTCCGCCCATGATCTTTACTCACTCACCGCTTGATCCCACTTGCACCCAACTGCTGGTTTTCCGACTAAGAGATTTCCCTACCAGAGTGGATCGCGGGCACCTCTTACGCAACTCCAGACAGTCATAGGTGCCCCCCTCCGGAGCGCCTATAATTACAAAGAGCACCAGGCATCAACCAATGTCGGGGGCTTACTACGATCGGAGAGAAGTGCCCTTACCCGGGGATTTGCAAAATCGGAAATATGTTGCCGACCACCAGAATCAACCCGCTCAGGGCACCTACACCTCCACATTTAACCCGATATCCATTTCTTTGTCCCGAGACCTAGATCCACCTGTCTCCTGTCCTCCCCCACTCCTTAGTCTTTTACCTCAATCTTGCGGTACGATGTGTGCCCAAAATCTGCTGATCGACTCCTCTCCCCGCCCTAGGAATACTGGATTTCCAGGATCATCGGACTGCCCTACTCTCCCTTCTCCATTCGTGCTTCTCGCCCTCCTTCGTCTCATCAACATTACCCGAAGCCCCGTCTCACTCCCCAGCTAAACTGCCAACGGGTGATAACCAGCGGGGTTCTCCCAATTCGTGGAGTTAACCCACACCCCTGTACCGACCCTTGCTTCTCTCCCTCTTTCCTCTGCCCTACAGAGTATCGTAACGGGCCGACTCCCCCATCTGCTGTCGGTACTGGATTAACGGGCCAGCAGCCTTGCCATACTTCCCTACCGCTTCCGTCTCCCCCATGTTGCGTCCTCTTCCACCGACCTCTTCCATGTAAAGATCTCCCATCACCTCTCTCTATCTAACACTTGGCACCCTCGCCAGCCCTCTCGGAGCACTAAATACCGTAGATCTCGAGACTCCCTTGCTTCGCGATAACTGCCCTCCCCTCTCATCGTCGGCCTTCTGATGGAGATCTCACCGACGAGTCACCGTACCTTTTTCGCTCTCTCCCTGGTTGGGCGCCCATAATCTACACACCACTAATCCAAGCTCTAAATTCTCGAGCTCGCTTCCAACTCCTCCTCCTTTCGGCTGTGAGTATACCTGCTTGTGCTGGCTGGGGTTAATTGGCTACTTCGGCGAAGCCCTGCCCGGTTCCCTGGAATGCGTGAATGACGCGTGTGTAGGGCTTCCCGCTCTCCGTCGGCGATGGCGGAGTTGGCGGCGAAGCAGTGGCACAGCTGGACCGCGAAGGACCCCTGGCCAAACGCCGGTTCGGAACGGCGCAGCAGAGCGCTAACCGTCCAGCCGCGGCGTCCCCCCCCCACTGCCTCCTCCCCGCCGCAGCAATTCGGAGTACTAAGCAAAAATGGCAAAGAAAAAGTTAAAAAATAAAAATAAAAATAAAAATGGCAAAAATAGAGTGGTTTTCTTTTGTCGTTTATGCCCTCCTGCCCTCCTGCGCACACTACGGGCCAACCCTGTGAAAATGACATCTGAGCTTATCAGAACCTTGCCGAGCTGCTTGTATTGCCTTTTTCCATCTTGGCGCATGAGTGACCTGCCAGTGGGGTGAGCTGTTTGTTTCACCTATTCCAAGCTCATTTCTAACCCCCCCTCCCCCTCCTTTAAAAAAAGAAAAAGAAAACAACATCTGAACCCATTTCGCGTAGTTGGCTCTGCATTTAATTTAGTCCTCAAGAACTGCAACTGACTCGCTGTAACAAAATACTAATGATATATTTTGATAAGTTCGATAACAAATTAAAACATCAGCAATTTCACTGCTGGGTATAATAATTGGTCTTTTTGGCAGAATTTGGAATTTGGAAGAACTCAGTGCATTCAATTTGTCAGTAGTGGACACTCGAGCGCCTTTTGTTTTTCAGTAACACACAGTCTAACAGTGGGCCTCGCTCCATTACACAAGACTCTACATGCATTAGGACTCTTTCTGGGGCGGATGCATTCAACATGCTGGACTCGTCCCAATGCACCTGGACGAGAAACTGCCCAGACACATGAAGAGTTGTGTGTGGTGGAGTGATGCCCAATGTGAAACTTTCGGTGAAGCTAGCCGGCAGAAACAAAGGAAAGGGATAACAAGTAAAGCTTTCGAGTGCCCTAATGGTGGAATCCAGCATCCCTAATATCTTGTCAGCCAGTCCAGAGCTTCGCACTTCGCACCACTTCCTCCTACTCAATGGTACTTCCACGGAATCATCTGATGATGATGATTCCATGCCATTGGCAGCCTTGAACTCGAAAGTTCACCCTCCTCAGTGGGGTTTTCATTGTCTTCCCTCAGGCTGGGACCTTGGCTAGACAGAAGGTCACACTGCAGTGAGTCCATCATCATCAAGTAAAACAACAGGATCGTGAATGAATGTCTGCTGAGGTTCATGATGCTTTTTCCCATGTCTGAGATGTGTGGAACACGAGGAGGGGTTGCAACTCGCACCGATAGATCATTCCCATGTCTGGTTAAGATAACCAACACAACTGTTTGAGAGCAAGGAAGAGTAATAAGAAGGCCCTGAGGGCCTTCTGATTAGAGTTGTCCTTTTTTTCTCTTTCGTTCTCTTTTCTTCGTCCTCTTGTTGTTGTTGTTGTTGTTGTTGTCGTTGTTGTTGTTGTTGTTGCTGTTCTTCTTCTTCTTCTTGCCGTCGTTGTTGTTTCTGAAAGTTTGTTGTTGTCGTTTGTTGTTGTCTTCCTTTCTCTTGTTGTTGTTTCTGTTGCATGGAGAAGTTTCATTCAAGGTAGGGCTCGGACGTAGTCATTACCGGTGGTTTAAAGTTGTAATAATTTTGTCCCTCAAGCTCAGCGCCTTATTCCCTCAAACAAGTACAATTATTGTCAATAGGTGGATGGAGCAGTGTCCTGTTTGCACATTAGTTCCTTCTTTTTTCAGGTTTTTTCTAAGAGAGGGGGGGGAGGTAAATAAATTGCGGGGACAAGAAACTGAACTGGGAGCAGGGACAAGTAACCGAACTGGGAGGTGTAATTTGCAAGGCAGGCACAACAGCTGAAAGAGTAATTATATTGTTGGAGTGGATGTTTTGATCTATAGGCTTTTGATTAAATCCGCCATGAAGAGAATCCACACAATTATATTGAATGCCAACAATCAGCCATGAAGAAAATCCACACAATTATATTGAATGCTAACAATCCTCCATGAAGAAAATCCACACAATATTGAATGCTAACGACTGATTCTGCTCTCAGACTGCTCCATGGTAGATTAAAGAAAAAGAATTGGTGCCAAAAGAGGGCTCAAGAGGAAAAGGAAACGCATCCTTTTTTTTTCCTTTTTTTTTTAACCGGGGTTTGCTAGGGGCGCTGGCAAGAGCAGACACCCCTAGCAACACCTGTTGGCTCCAGTGTATTGGTTGGGAGCGACACCTGCTGGAAATGGGGTCCAGCGTCCCTTACAATACATCAGAATTGGTCAACGATGAGAAAAAATAATGTGAACGTAACTGCCAGGAAACACATTCTGATAAAATCAGACGGATAAAGTAGTGTTAGGGGCAACCGCCAAGTGGCCAAATAGTACACACCTGTAACTGTTGGTAAACAGATCATGAGTTAGAATCCTTACAGAGAATCAGATGATTACAGCAAAGGGATATTGACGAGTTATGTACCAGTGTTCTTAAGGCGAGTTCTTCGTCAGAGATGACAGAGGGGTTATGAGGAGAAGGGGTAAGACTGACAAGCATTCATCATAAACTGGCAGGTGAAAATTCAGAGACTGGTTAGAACAAAGAAATCAAATAATAATTAACTGACAAGCAAGAAGTTGAGTTCCGAAAACTGACCGAGAAGGGATCTTGCAAACAACTGAAATCTTGAGAGAAACTGGAAACAATCAGGGGTGCCCCCCGTGCACCGAGGGCACGGGCAGGCGGGCCCGGATTTTCGCGTGGTGAGTCGCGAACCGTAGATGAAGATCTCAGCCGTTCGCCATGCGTTGCAGGTACCAGGAACGGAGTGCCGCCGAAAGCACACTAGAAAATCTGCCAAGAGATAAAAGCCTCGATTCAGTAAGGCTGAGGCAACAAATCTGGGTAGAGGCAGAAGTAGCCTGGATATAATGAGCCCACCCCAAATGGTCACAGCCGGAATAGCCCAATGCGGGGTGCCGCTGCTGCCTACCGGGTCCTCCCAGCAAGTGGGGCAGGGAGAGGGCTTGGATATTCGTCCCAGCCTTCGAGCTGCAAATAAGTTGTTGGATAATATTCAAGGCTGCAACCTTCAGTTTCTCGATGGTGCTAGACAGGCTGCTTGTCCAGATTCAGATCTGAGTTCCGCTGCTGCCTGCGGATTGGCTAAGGTGCCAGAGTAAGTGAAATCTTGATCCCCGATGCCCAAATGCTGGCATATAACCCATCTTGCAGGCCTTCCTTGAAGAACGGGTTGCTTGAGCAGGCTTATAATTCTCAACCAATGGAGGGCAAGGATTCACGCCTTCTAAAGTATCTACCAGGGAAAGGCGCTGGACCCACTGCCGCTATGATTACAGCAAAAGGATATTTGAAACGGTTTTCAACTTTTAGCAGTAGCAGGTGCAGTACCCAGGGCTCGATCCCTAGACCTCACCCTACCCATGTACAGTATCTGTGTAGACCCCGAGAGTTGAACCTGTGACCTGTGTATTCGTAGACAGTTGGTAGATCTGTCATAGGTCCATAGGCAGCAGGGGTTCGATCTGTAGACTTATGGAGTAGACGTCTTAGTGAGTTCCAGAAGCTTAGCTGTACTCCTTCTAGAAGGTAGGCAAGTGG